GGGGGGGGGGGGGGGGGGGGGGGGGGGGAGTCCCTGTTTGCTCTGCCATGGTTTCAAAACATTCCCCGTTCTCTGTGTTTCCACGCAGAGGCCACAACAAAGCCTCCACTGTGCTGGCCGCCGGCCTCTTATCCGCCTCCCAAACCGGGTTTGAGGCCTGTAGAGTTTCCCCGGGCCACGTTTAACAAGTTAAAATGCTAAAGCTAAAACACGAGGCAAACGGTGGGGTTAAACTCTGTCACACGCAGCCTGTTGCTGGGATTTGTGTTCATCCAGGTGCTTTATTTGTGTCATAAAACAGGACAAAGTACAAACAGAGAAGCTTTTAGAATCACGACCATAATAATAAAACGATCCCTAAAACACAGATCCCTTTCATACTAACCGACACACAGACCCTATATGTGAAGGTTTAGTCTCTCAGGTAAAGCGTTTTTAACCTGAGAAATTCATTCTAAAGGAGGTTTTAGCTCCTTTCTAATTTTCCAGCTTCATCTGTTTTTATTCTACAAACACAATCCTGTAAAAAAAACAACTAAGAATCTCATTTTATGACTAACTGTGATGGCATTCCCTCTCTTTTCTCATGGTGAGGACTTGTTAGCTGGTAGCATTTCCCTCGTATTGTAGTTTAAAAGATCGTGTTCAAGGGAATGAACACAAAAAACTGCCTGGTCTCTCCTGTCATTACTGTTTATGTTTATGTTTTTAAGCTTTTATCTAAAGCAAATTACAAACTAAACACAATTTTACAGCTATAATCAACATGACAATAAGTTCTCTAGAGGTAAATCCCCAGTCAGAATCAGTGGAGACAGCAAAGAGAAGGAGGAGAAATTGTAGTAGGGTCCAATCCTGCTGTCTGAAACATGAAATCTGGGACAGGGTCAGAAAACATGAGCTGGAAAACCCATTTTACTCCTGAGCAAAAGGGGGCGGGATCTATCCTCCACTATCATTTTTAACCCTTCTGTTAGAATTGGGCTATAATTACTCACGTTAGCATAGCATGCTACAACCTAATCCATGTAAATGACTGATTGTCTTATTCCCTTTTAGACTTATATCATTCCCTTTATGATGATACTTTTGGGTTGAACTGTGATAGATGATTGCCAAGTTAAAATCAGTCTACTGGGGGGGAGGATTGGCTGGTTTGGAGGCAGATGGGGGCAGAATCCATTCACCAATATCATTTTAACCCCTCTGATGGACGATTGCAAAGTTAAAATTAAGTCTGGGGGGGGGGATTGGCTGGTTTGGAGGCAGAATCCATTCACCAATATCATTTTAACCCCTCTGATAAAGGATTGCTAAATTAAAATTAAGTCTGGGGGGGAGGATTGGCTGGTTTAAAGGCAGATGGGGGCAGAATCCATTCACCAATATCATTTTAACCCCTCTGATGGACGATTGAAAAGTTAAAATTAAGTCTGGGGGGAGGATATTGCTGGTTTGGAGGCAGATGGGGGCAGAATCCATTCACCGCTATCATTTTAACCCCTCTGATTGACAATTGAAAAGTTAAAATCAGTCTACTGGGGGGGGTTGATTGGCTGGTTTGGGGGCGTGTGGCTTCACACGTAGTTCCTGAGGGCGTGGCTCCTGCTCGGCGCCCCGGTGGGCGGCGTGTACCCGGCGTGGGGGAACCGGGCGCCGCGGCGGGGCCCGCTGACGCACAGCAGGACCCCCCCGGCGAGCAGCAGCCCGCACGCCACGAACCCCACGTAGAGCGCGGCGCCCAGCTCCCTCTTCAGCGCCTCGGGCACGCGGGGGTCGTGGAACTCGGCCACGACGGCGTGCGCCGTCCAGGCCACGGCGGTCAGCGCGGCGAGCGCCGCCAGCCCGAAAGCGGCGCCGGACGCCGCCACGAGCCCCGCCTTGACCGCGGGGGGGCCCAGGCAGTTGGTGCAGCGCGCCCCCAGGAGGAAGAGCAGGAAGGCCAGCACGCCCAGCACCAGGCTGACGCAGACCAGGCCGCGGGCGGCCTGCAGGTCGGGCGCCAGGTCCAGCAGGGCGTCGTACAGCTTGCACTGCATCTGGCCGGTGTACTCGCTCACGCAGGTCATCCACAGCCCCTCCCAGAACACCTGCATGACCACCAGCCGCGCGCCCACGAAGGCCGTCACCTTCCACATGGGCAGCGCGCAGATCAGCACCGTGCCGGCCACGCCCGCCATGCTCAGGACGAAGCCCAGCTCCTGCAGGGCCATG